GGACAACAAAAAGAATCGGTTTGCGCGGGCGAGAACAGTTGGGTACCCTTCCGTCGGGCGTTTTGGGCCCTTTGTACGGCTCCACGTCTCCCAGTTTGACCGGCCATTCGTCGTAGAATTCCTAATCGAGGCGGAATTGGAGGTTATGGTCTGAAGGCGTCCTGCATGCGGCCCGGTGTGTTCTTCAAGACCAACCTTCTCCTTGGTCATGTCCAGGAGGCCCACGGAGTAGCGTTCGCAGTTCAGGTAGATCCTCACCGTGTAAAGGGCTTTGTGGAACTGCCTCTCAATGTCGGTCAACTCTTCAAAAACTTTACTGGCTGACCAGAGCAGCACCTGGACATGGCAGGATGAAGCAAAAAAAAATGTTTTCTGTACATCAAGTCAAGTACAACTTTATTGTCAAATGTGCAGCACGGATGAAATGTCTTCCCCCTCAAACAGACAACAAATGCCGTCTTGCGTTTCGGGCATTTGCCAGCTTTTTCGAATGCATCCGTGCCGGATTTGATGACGCGTTGGACTGTGACGATTGCTTGGATCGGCGGTTTACCTGACTCCTCCTGGACTCCACGTTGAACATGTAGGCGGTGTGATGCTGCAGGGCGATGACGTGAGCGAAGGTCATGTACTTGTGGAAGAGCTGAGCGGCACGCCGGGCGGGACACATTAGAGCCGTCGCATCGAAGCCGAAGCCGAATTGTTTTTGCGTTACCGCTTCATCCTCGGGTGTGAAGTGAGCCGCTCCGATCTTGTTGAGTGCGATGACCACCCCGAGGCACTCTTTGTCAGCCATCAGGGGGTACGTGAGCATGCATTTGGTCTTGTAGCCCGTCTGCTTGTCCACAAAGTCGCAGAATTTTTTATTCTGGGTGGGGGTGGGAGCGGAACATTTGACATCAGTTGCCCATTTGTGAATTGATCAAGGGTGTGACACCATTCTCCCGCCGCCCGGTCCGCAATTCACGGCTGCGGTTTCGATACGTCTCCTCCCAAACGAATCACAGACGAGTCGCCTTGTCAGTAGTCAACCTTGATGACAGCCGACAGTGAATGACGAGCCCGGAATTAATCACAGCTTTGAATGACTTTTTCCGCGGAAACCGGCGCTCCTCCGATGGCATCTGAGTGATGATGAAGCAGGCAGTAGTATTTTATTGGAGACAAACTGAGGCGTCACCTTCCATATTTGCGGCCTATATCAACGAAACGGTCCCAGGACGCATTTGGACCCAAGCTCCCCATTTCAGAGAATTAGCCAGCGGACAGAACAGGAAGCCCCCCCCCCCCCTCCCGCCCCCGCATGATGCAAAGAGAGACGTGCCATCTTTTGCCAGCCATTGGAAGTCAAATCAAGAAAATTCCAAGTCTCAAGGTAACCTTGACATTTGGATCAAGACTCCAGCCTGCTATCATTTCTCACTCACGGGGATCATTTGGCCCGGCACGCGACATCACGACAGCACTCGAAACGGACTGGCGCGCGCGTTCGGCACCGGCCGTTGGTTTCCCGCTTCTCACCTGGGAGACGTCGGCAACATTTTGGGGCTTCTTGGAGGAGGCGGTAAAGCCCACGATGCCCATTTCCAGGGGGAAGACGATCTCGGTCTGGGGGTGCACCAGGTTGCTCTCGTATTTGGACGTCGGGGTGACGTCGAAGAGCGACGTGGCGAGCTCGGGGATTCCGTTGCGGGACCTGCATTGGTAAAAGCTGACCCTGTCGGCCTGCAGGATGAGGGCCACGCGCTGCAGCACCTTGTGCATCGACTCCTCCACCGCGCCTTGCTTTTGCATGGCCTGCACCAGATCGAAGATGATGGCGGCCTCCTGCACCGAATTGACATCCTTGAAGGAGGCCGCGTCCTTCACTTGGACGGTCGCGGCGAAGGCGGCGCTGAGGGCCTCCGCCCGCACCTTCTTATCAAAATATTCTTTGGCAAACTGCGGGTTGTTGTCCAGATATTTCTCCACGCTGTCTTTATCTGCCATTCTCCCAACTTTTGACAGCTTCTGTCTTGTCCTCCTATTGAAGCATCACCTGTGAGGGAATTTACCCCAAAAAAAAGAAAAAAAAAAAAGAAAAAGAAAAAAAAATGTCCTAGAGGGGCCAATGCATCCTCCTCCGCGCTGCCCGACGGGAATCACTGACGGCGTCCCGGGACGCGCCGAGGCTTAGAGGCTGAAAGGATCAACGTGGCCACTAATTAATGTGACGTCATGCCATTAAAAGCCCTGCTCTAAGCGTCCTTAACCCCGGCAAATCCCAGCACTGATCATTTTATATCTGGCCGCGCCGCCCCTGCGCAGGAGGAGAGACGGCAAAAAGAGCTAGCTTACAGCTAAGCACGTGGTATTAGCAACATGGCAAAATGTCCTCAAAATGTCGGGTACAACGGCATCGAAATCTAATCTTGTTTTGTTCTCGACGCACAACCTCTTCTTGAGCCTTTGAAGTCGTTTGCTACTGGGGGGGGCTTTCTCCGATTGGCTGGCTTTAGTTAAAAATATTGCACCAATAAGCTGGTATGACCGAAATTGCGAGAGGGTTCTTCATGTGGATTCATCGACATTTCAATTACCAACCACTTAGCCCTACTTTTTAAACGCTAGGCAAGTACTAAACTCTTGCTGCGTCAAAGTCTTCATGTCTATTCCCTATTGAAACAAAATGACTTCATCGATTACCAACCCAAAGTGGTTAAATAATCTATTGAAACGGGAGAATAAAAAGTTTTCCAAACAAAATGGTAGCCGAGATCTAAAGCATTAGCTTAGCCGAGGTGACTGAGGCCATGTTAGCATGGCTTCCTTGAGTCAATGCTACCGAGGCTCTATTAGCGTTCCCAAATGTTAACTGACTTTAATAGCATTAGCATCGCCATTGAAAAGTCGAGCTTATTGGGTTTTTTTTTGTTTGTTTGTTTTCATACGGAACTCACGTCGGGAGTTTTCCTGAGGCGGACAACGCGACATGCACTTTCGTTTCACTTTGGCAATACAGACACAGAGGTTGCACAATTATGAAAACAAATCCAACCTGAGGAATTCAGAGCGTGGAGAGCGTTCAGCAAACTGTCCGAGATGTTGAGTTATGCGCACTAAAGCTTTTTTTTTTCTTGTTGGGCGAAGCGTCCAGCTTGCAAGTACAACTCTGAGATTGACTAATTGCAGTTGAACGAGCCAACAGACAACGTTTGCGTGTTTTATTTTTAGAATTTTAGATGCACTTGCGTGACGGGTCATGCTACAAAATGAGATGGATGAGGTTTATTACGCTTCATAATTTGACTCTTCCTATGACTAGTATAACAGTGGGCAGTCTCAATGTTTGCGAAAAATATCGCCGGTGCGCTTAATAAAGGTTTAATGGGCCAGCATGTATACAGTGTCTGCCATTGTTAATTGTGGCACAGCCTCACAATTGGCAGAGCCCGCATATAATGAAGTCATCGTGAAAGTCCCCGTCCTCCGAGTTTAAATTGGCCAATTAATGGGATCGGCGCCGGCGCCTGAGACCTAAACAAAGACGGCTGGCTATTATTACCCGCCCCGCGGGGCATCCGCTTAGCATGTTGGCCGCCTGGCAAGACAAGTGGCGGCTTTCTCTTTCTTCATTTGTTCAGCGGGCGGAGATTAAGGTGAGCTTCCCCGAGGGAGGGCTACACAAGGCGCGGGGGCGGATGCGAGGCGAGGAACGCTGCGAGTATATCAGACGCGTAGGAATCGATGAGACAAAGATTCACCGCAATCCTGTTGTCTGCGTCAATTTGGCTTCTCGCAGACGATCCCAATGTTGCGCCGCCGGCGCCGGGCAAGTTCCATCAAAAATGTCACAGGGAATAGTTTGATCAAAATGAAGCTCCTCAACTCACTTCACTTTTTTCCCTTGGCACCAAAGATGCAACTCGATGGCCTGAGCCGATGTCAAAAAGAATGCCAAAACGTTCTACAAATAATCACGATTCATGACAATTTTGCATAGCTCATTTCGCCTTCGATAACATTGAAGCCAGCCAAGGATGGAAGGCGAAAACCCAAGTCACAGTGAGAGCAGCAATGCGCGCGCATGATTGAGATCGGGATCCAGAGAAAACTAAGTCTGGAGCTTGTATTTTGGTGTTCGATTCAATTTCGCAACGTCTTTGCGAAGGGGGAAGAAAAAAAAAATCAACAACTGTAACACATGAATCACAATGTTGGAAACTTGATGGAAAAAAAGCAACTCTCCAACGCAAAGCATGATGAACTCCCTAAAGGATGGCAGGCGGGATTCCAGCCGAGTTGATACATTGGACTGCATAAGATGGACCCCCCCCCCCCCAAGAAAAGTAGATCTCACTTTCCGGCCGACGCTTACGATTGTGAAATGCGGCGCTCGCCTTTGGACGCGTTCCAGCCGCTATTCATTTGACGTAAAATCGGCAAGGAGCCCTCGGGTCACGCGGGGCGCAGAGCTTTGCTTTTTTGCTGTGCCGTCTTTTTCTTATTTAAGAGTTGGAAGACGGTGGATGTTGCAAAACATTCAATAGGACATGGATTCGTCAATGAAAAACAACGTGAGCAGGAGGGGGCAGGCACGTGGTTTCGGCGTGCTGTCCTCTGCTGTTGACGCGAGAGCATTTGAGCGTGCAACGAGGTGAAAAAACGTGCTGTGCAACAGGCCCAAATCTCCGTTGCCTAATCTCGGCGTCATCCGGTCGATGACGCTTCAAAACCGCCGACGTTGACCTTTCACAGACGCGTCTTGTTTTTGTGACTCCCGGGCAAAGTCAGTCAAAACCGACTCAGGTCTTCCAGAAGCTTCGCGCAAGCGCGCAGGGCTGTTTGTTTTTCAAACGGGCCGCAGAGGTAAATCAATATTGGACGGGACGCCTCGTGCATTGCACTCGAACGCGCTTCCTCCCCAGATGCGCCCGCTTGGCCCCGCCGAGTGTTTTCATAAGATGAGATAAGAGCGAACGAGAGAAACACGTGCGGCGGAACGGGGGCCCCGCAGTGGACCGAGGCACGCGGGCGCGTCCAACTTTGGTCCAATGGAAGGCCGACTTTTGGGATGCGTCGCGTAGGGGAGGTTCGGTCTCCGGGAGTCGTTGCGCAACTGCGGCCGACAGCATAAAAGACCCCGGGAGCAGCTCATCGGCGGGAGCTGACTTCCGACCGCCGGCTAACGAGGTACGTATCGATCGCGTCTCGGCGCTTTTGTCTTGACTGGAGCCCGGATGCAAACGGGTGGCACTTTTGAATTCTTTCCCGACGCAATCTGGGATCCTTGACGCGAGTGTCGCGGCGTGAAGGCAAACGCCGTCCGTCTCGTTTCAAAGCAGAATGCTGCGCTACGCGGTGTCCCTGTGTTTCCTGGCCCTGGCTTGGGCGCAGGACTGCCAAGTGTCCAACTTTCAGGTCGTGCAGAATTTCGACAGAAACAGGGTGAGGCGCGAGCTGATGGAATTTCTCCTGCGATGGGGCGGGCCGTGCGGTTGACCTGATCTTTTGTCCGCAGTACGCAGGGACCTGGTACGCCGTCGCAAAGAAGGACCCCGAAGGTTTGTTCCTGATCGACGACATCGTGGCGCAGTTTATCGTCGCACAAGACGGCACGATGACCGCCACGGCTCAAGGCAGAGTCAACATTCTCAAGTGAGCGCAATCCGTCGTCTTGCTTAGCACGTCCGCGACCATGTCTAACCTCCTTCTGTCTGGACCCCAGCAACTGGAATACGTGCGCCCACATGATCGCCACCTTCGAGGAAACCGGAGAGCCGGCTAAATTCAGGATGAAATATTGGGGAGCGGCCGCCTACCTGCAGACCGGAAGTAAGTTTCGGACCCGGACTAAAGCGATCCGCAATGACATAAAGCTTTGCTTTCATGCGAACGAGTACAAACGGCTTTGTCTCGCTAAACGGCGAGCGCCGTTCGTGCCAAAGCTGCAGTCGGAACGACGATTCAATCTGATCCAATCAAAGGCTGATAAGGAGACCCGACGTCAAAGATCAACATTGCCTCACGGGGTCGGTCGGAAAGGACTGACGTGCAGTCACCCGTTGACGCAGGCCGACGAGCACGCTCGTGACGCATCGACGACTTTTGCACTTTGACAACGACCGCCTGACTAAGGTTTGGGTTACCGTCAACAGCGGCAAGGGGCGGAACTTTGGCAAGTCACTCCAAATACAACGATATGCACCAGTGGGTTATGGACTTCAACTGTTACCAACTCATCGCCCCCGCCCCAAATACACACACCAATGACCCAAGGTTGTTCTTTGCTTGCGGAGAATTGTTTGCGTTGATGGCAAGCCTGCCCTTGGGAAAGTTTGCGCTACCTGATCTCATCAAATGCTGATTTGTTAGAGAAGTTCCATTTCTCAACAGGGTCAGCGTTTCGGATGACCACAGCCAGAAGCAAAGGAAGGAATTTTGCCTTTGTCAAGTCCTGTCCGGTGCTTTGACATGCACCGATGAGTTATGGACCTTGACTACTAACTCGCCTCTGCATTACTACGTTCACGGTCTTCACGGGGATGACCAAGGAACATCGGAATTCTTTCTTACCTCCTCCTTTAGCTATGCATCCCCCCCCCCACCGCCAACCCCACTCCTCCAACATTCTCAAATGCTAGCCCGTTGGTCAGGCTCACCTTAGCCATTAGCACGGTATGGCATTTTGGTGAAGAATGACTGACTACGCTCGTAAGCCAATCCGTTTCCGAAACACTTTTGACATCTTTCAGGCCTTTTTTTTTTTTTGCAACCGCGTCCTTTAGAATTCAATCTGATCGTGAGGCAATGTCATATTTCTCTGTCAACTCTGCGTCTGAGGGTCGTGACATCTTTGGCAATGACCCCGACGCCGGTCTTTGGCTCTTCGGTGCTTCCAGATGACAACCACTGGGTCATCGACACAGACTACGACAACTACGCCGTCCATTACTCGTGCCGACTGCTCGACGAGGACGGCAGCTGTCTGGACAGCTACTCCTTCATCTTCTCCAGACACATCACGGGTCTGAGGGCGGAGGACCAGCCCAAGGTCACCCAGAAGAAGGCAGAACTGTGCCTGCTGGGCAAGTACAGACGCGTCCCGCACAACGGTGAGTCGGGCGCGCCCAAATGAGAGAACCGCTTCTGGGCTGGCGTTTCAAGATGGGCTTCACGCTCCCTTTTCTGTCTCCGCTTCACAGGCTTCTGCACGGCCAACGATCAATCTCTTCCCAGCCAGGAACATGCTTATTGAAGCACCCGCGAGAGGCGCGGCGGCTCCCTCAACTTCCTCCGTTTCAACGGAACGACAGCCTATTGCTTGATAGACGCAAAGCAGAAAATGCCACGAGTGTCGCCGTTACCCATTTCTCACGTCCCCGGTTGTCCTTCTACATTAGCCTCTGGTCGCGTGAAGCTTCTTCTTCTCACTGATGGGGGCGAGTTGCTCAACTGCAGTCGGGAAACGTGTCTACTTAAGAGAAAGGCAATGTTAGCAAACTGTATATTTTACTGATAGAGCCACGTTTGGTTTTCAAGTCGGGCCGAGCTCTCGGACGGAGCACCCCGCACGATGAGTCCACCCGCCATGTTTACAAGGGAAAAAAAAAACAGGTTTCCAAAATCCCTGGCGTTGCCTTGACATTTTTGTCTCCTTGTTCACAAGCAGACTTTGTTAATAATCCTTCATGGACATATTAAGACACGGGCTTGGTATTATACAGCGTCGACGATACGCATTTCATTCGACGTACTTGATAATAGTTTTGTGAAATAAAACACGCATACTCTTGGCCGATTCCCTTTTTATTGCGCTGAAATATTTATTCGATTGAGTTGCAAGGTGCAAATAAGAAATTCCTGCCTTCGCCTCTGGACCCGATCGAAAAGTTTTTCTTTGAATCTTTAATCACGACGCGCGGCTCGACTCGACGGAGGCGCCGCCAGCTACTCAGTCATTGGACACGGCATCATCGTCACTATGGAAACGAGTCGGACAAAAACAAGTCCGTCATCGGGTCCGCAACGAATCGGAAAGGGGCCGCTTATGCAAGAAAAGCCCACAGAGATCTGGTGAAGTGGTTTCACATTTTTATTGTGCAGGTTGCAAGCAGTACAGTAAGGGAAAAAAAACAAAGACATGATCAGATGACTTTGACACCAGCGGATGAATATGACCCACTCCTGAAAAAAATCGAAACCCCAACAGCCTCCAAAGTCACACTGCCGAAGGGCGGTGATGGGGGTATCTGAGACACCTTTCCCTCGAGCGAGTGGACTAAGCCGCTGCCTTAAATAGCTGAGCACAAGGAATTAACTCCACGCAATCTCGTTGCAGCCTCGCGGGGCTGCGGACATGACAAGTTGAGGTGGAGGTGGAATTTAAAAAAAAAAAAAAAAAAAAAAAAGCCAGCGCAGGTGAAGGTCGGCTGCTTGTCTATTCAGATTTCCACAGCAGCACCGTGAATAAAAAAAGCCCATCTCGGCGCCGATGCCGTACAAATGAGCGACTTAAAGATGATGGCGGCGGGTTGGAGTGCTGAATCCTGATGGGCGTGTTGCAATCACACTCACCAACACAAGTTTTGTCCCTTGATGAGACCTCATCACACGACGAAAGAGGTTAAAAAGATCCAAATAAGTCACCAGCTCACTGGAAAAACCACCCAAAAGAATAAATAGGACTCGTAAGGCGAATCGCAAAGAGCTTTGACACTTGAAGCGGGAAGTCTCGGCGAAAACAGACGCTCCCATTTGAAAGGGCAAAAGTGGGCTTCCTGATTTTCAAGCGGTTCCCCTCGCCGGCCGGCCCCCCTTTCCCAAGTGTCATTCAAGGGCCGCGTCAAGCCAAGCAGAAGTCGATGTGGGCCAGCAGCTCCCGGTGGCGGCTGGTGGGGTAGTGAGCTCGGCACCGGGGGCACTCCAGGAAGCTCTCGTCCAGGAGGCCGCCCGCTTTGGAGGGCGACGCGGGCGAGCGCCCCACGTCGGGCCCGCCGTAGGAGCCGGGCTCGGAGAAACGGCTGTTGGGCTGCTTCTGCGCGGGCGACGGAAAGGCCAAAAGCCGGGAAAAGAGGCGGAGAGAGCTGTAGCAAACGGCTGTTGGGTGTCGGGCTCGCAAAAAGGCTACTTACGACCGACTCCAGCTTGGCAATCTGATCGCGGGCCTTGCGGAGCTCCTTCAGGACTTTGTGAAGCTGGTGCTGCACGCTCTGACGGTCCAGCTTCTCGTTCTCAAAGTCTTTGACGGAGAGCTGGATCTTCGAGGCGGAAAAGACGGGACGCCTCGGTAACTCTCCTCTCGACTCGGACGGCGAAGCGCAAAGGTACGTTCCGCTGGACAGACGGCGTCGCCTTCTCCAGTTGTGGCATCAGGTGACTTGACGGCATTCCAGCAGACCGCGAGCGACCGCCGGTTAGCGCGGCTCCTTACCATCCAGGCGGAAATACGGCGCGTGCGACGGTATCGTGCGGAAAACCGCGGACCACGTCAAAAACGCGCGTCGTCCTGACCCCGCTTCCGCCCGCTCCGCTCAAAGAGCGTCTTATTTGCAACCGATTGTTACCGTAACCCAAATGATCGATCCGTTTCGGATCTTTGTAAAGCTGCGGTTGTCTCTCGTTTGGCGCTCTCAATTGCAAAAACAACATGCTCCCGTTTTTTTTTTTTGTCCACTCACGAACCGAGACCGCGTACGTTGATGCGTCGCGTCGTGGTTTGTTGCGGTGTTACCTGCTGCTCCAGCGCCGCGATCCTCCTCTGCTCTTCATTTTGGCTCAGAAGAGACTTCTGCAGCAAGTTGACCTGTTGGATCCGAGTGCATGTTTCAGTTCACGTTTGCACCCCGTGCTCATTTTAGACACTCGCCGCGTGTGCTTGTGTATGCGAGAGGGGGTCAATTACTTGGAGCAGAAGTTGGGCAGATCTCTCCTTCTCCTCCTCCAGTCTGAGTTCCAGGCTCTCCAGGTCAGCTCTCATCCTGTCGGCTCGCTCCGAGGACAGCCGCTGCTCTTCGGAAACCGCGCGCCTACATTGAAAAACGAGGCAAACGTTTTTTTCAAAGCCAAAACGCCGCGGCCCGAGCTCCTCCTGGCTCGCGGACTCCGGCGCGGCACCTGCCTGCTGAGCCGCTCCGTCTGCATCCGCAGCCTGGCTTCTTCCAGCTCCTCGGCCCTCTCCTCGTACTTGCTCTGCAGGGACGAAAGCTCGTCGCCCTTGCGGTCCAAGAGCCGCTGCAGCGCCGTCTTCTCCTCCTGCAGCCGGGCGGCGCGCTCCGTCTGGCGCTGCAGCTCGGCCTGACTTTTGAGCGCCCGCTCCTCCTGCGAGAGGAGCTCCCGCTGGGTTGCGGCCAGCCGATCGTCCCGCGAGGCCGACGCGAACCGCTCGTCGCGGCTCTCGAGCCGCGCTTCCTTCTCCGAGGTGTCGGAAGCGGCGTCTCCTGCGGCGGCGGCTGGAGAAGCCGAGTCCTGCCGCTCGGCCCGGCTCAGCCGTTGCTCCAGCTCGTGCGAGCGGGCGAGGACCGACTGGACGAAGGCCTCTCGCTGCTGGTCGTACACCAGCCACTGCTGGTTCTTCTCCAGGGCCTGCCGGAGACACGTCGCACTTGTGCTTTTCTTTGCCCTTCGGGGCCCACGTTGGCCAGCTTGGGGGATACTCACGTCTCTCAGCTGATCCTGCACCAAGGCCAAGTCCGCGGAGGGCGCCGGTCCATTCTAAGCGCACAAAGACAAAAAAGAAAAGAAAAAGCGACAAAGGCATGAAATGAAGCGTTTTGACCGCAAAAACGTTCATCGCTATTTTCTGATCGTCAAGTGTCTTGCTTTACATGTAGTTTGAACTCATTTCTAGCTGTTTCCACCCCCGTCAGAGAGGGGGTGTTGTGCCATTTAAGACCCCACCCAGCATGAGTCAGAAAGCGCACACTTCCCGCCTATTTATAACCTGACGAAAATCAAACATGACAAACACAACAAAGCGAGACTCGAGACTCTCGTGTGTTTTCGTGTCGCCTGGCTTCACGTGGGTGATGCCCAACGTTGATGTTTTGACAGACGCGCTGCAGGCTGCCGGGGGAAGACTGCGTCAACGCCAGGACACGACAAACAGCGCCACCTTGTGGTCACAGCTAGAAGCGCACCTGCAATTGCTGTCAAATGAATTCAGCCGGACACTTATTAGTCATTGCCATTGACAAATAGGATGTTCCTCTTGATAGCAAATTGTAAAATAAATAAATATATAAAATACGGGGGTTTTTTTTTGGGCACAGGAGCCAGCAGCGTGTCAGGAATTTCCATTTCCATGGGGAATAAACACCAACATGATCTCGCTTGATTGTTTTTTTTCATATCTCTTTTACAACCAGAGAGGATAATTAAGATTACAAGTCCCGCTGGCTGAAGCACTGCCCGATTAGTCCTCAAAATTGAATTTGCTCGAATCTAAACTTATCTTCATGTTATGAATTGAAAAATAACGTTGGGGGAGGGGGGCACATGTACATGACCCCCAAAAAGGATTCCTAATGTCATGAAAGGATCAACATACCGCCACCTGCGTCTCCAGGGCCTGACAGCGGGTGGACACCGCGGCCAGCTTGTTCTTCAGGTTCTCCGTTTCCTGTGAGAGATTCTGGACGTGAAGGTCCCTCTGCTCCGCATCCTTGCGCCGCTGCTCCAGCTGGGACTGCAGCGCCGCCACCACCTGAGGCGGTTACATTTCACAAGTCGTCATCAAAGATCCGTTGTATCGGGCTGCAATTAACCCGCACAGTGAGCGGATTAGTTCTTAAGGAACACTGTAGTCGTCTTCTCAAAAATGCTCCGACACTAACACAATGATACCGCTTCATCAATCTAACTGCTATAACTTATAGGCACATGGAGTAGGAGCCACACGGAGGTCATTTGAAGTAAATATAGATTCAACACTTGGTACGGATGCGGGTTTACCAAGCTTGTTTTTTTTTTTTTTTTTTTGAAATACGGCAGTGCAAGCTGCACTAGATACGTGCCTCTCCCCCTTTGGCTGCCAGCTGTTGCCTCACAGTTTCCAACTCTTGCTCCTTGACCAGCAACTGTTGATTGTTCCTCTCGCGAAGAGTCTCCAGCGAAACAATCCTCTGCAAAACAGCAACACAAAAAGGGGACATCGAAGCAGTCAATACTGTCCCAGCACTGAGCGAATTTTGCCGATTGCTCAGACGTCCCCCACGCGTCCCCCGTCCCTCACTTCGAGCAGCTTGCTTTTGTCCACGTCAGGCGGCCTAATGTGTCGTTTGGCCAGCTCGTCAATCTTCCTCCTGAGATGGGCGTTCTCCTTCCTGACTCGCTCCACTTCGGCCTCGGCTTTGGAGGCAGAGCTGCTGGATTTGAAACCCAGTTTGGCAACAAAGGTGTCCTTTGCCCCTTTGGAGGTCATGGTGCTTCTCTCTTACTTCCAGGAAATAGACTAAGAGAGGATATGTGGTTAGTGCACTCTTCACACGGGGGAACTCAAGTACACTATTAACATTGGGAACGCTCTGTTTAACAAGAATTAAGTAAGGGGATATACTCAATACAAGCTTTCAAATATCAATCTGAAAATACATTTAAAGCGTCTGCTCATCAGTCGTTTTAGCAATTACGCATGCACCAAGCACTGTTTTCCCTTTTTATTTCATTCAACATGCGAGCCGTCCTAACCAAGAAGGCATCGGTCATTCGTCAACAACCAAACGTTGCAAGATAATGGCTTTAAATGTTCGCCTTGCACTTTGATAGTACATATGAGATCAAACGGTGCTGATTTATTAATATTTTTAAACATACACACAAATAGACTCACGCAGGGGTAGAAGAGTGGCTTTTTTTCTGTGTCCGAACAGTCCGCCGATGTCGGTTCTTTTTGTTTTTTTTAACGACTTCCTCAAACATTTGAATTGCAGCGCCGTGGCGTCACTTCCGCAACGACATCCGGGTGCGTTTGCTTCTACTTCAGGGCTGACGTCGCTCAGTGATTGCGACGCGATGCAAAAGTTGTGTCCTTTACATGCCCATACTTTTAGATATTTTCAGAAAAATATGTTTAAATTTGCTTTTTTTTTTTGTTATAAGAACGTCAACCTTGGGTCTTACTTGTTCTAATAATGTCTAACGCCGTTGCCATTTAACTGACCCGGGGTGGCGACTGTTGAGAATGAAGCGCACATAAGCCCGGGCCGGGGGTCTTCTGACTTGATGGTCTGGTTCCTCTGGCTCTCGTTCGGCGTCGTCCGAATGTCTGAATGTTCCAAAAACATCGTTATTTTATGTAAAGGTCATCAATGCAGTTAATACTAGAACTGATGTCATGGAAATCAATAAGAAATTAGAAATCATGACGAGATTTCACTGAATTGGTCCGAAAACTGTTGTGTAGCCATATCATGTCTTCATTCATACAGAAGAATATGTCATAGCACACGCCCTCTGAGTCGGTAAATACGAAAAGTTCATCATTTTTGTTTGGTTTTATGCCGGCGAACTTAAAAATGTTGGCAAACAAACAATATGTACGGTAGTCTTTACAAAGATCCACCCTCCTAGACTGATCCAAAGTATGGTTGTGAATTAGACGTTAAAAGTGGCATCTTTTTCTGCGAGTCATAACAAGAATAACTTGGCCAGAAACACAAACGTAAACATTATTAGCCTTGCAGCGGCTACAATTGATTGTTGACCGTGCAGGACACTGGAAGAGAGGAGAACAACAAGGCTATGTTTCGCCCTTTAATTTGGATCGTCTACTAAAGCATGTAAAAATGTCCGCCCCCACAAAAAAATTAAAAAAAAAAAATCATGCATGCGAATGAGGTGATGTACACACTCCTGGATGCGGCTCTATTGCAATTAAAATATATTTTTCCCACAGAAAAAAAAAAAAACAGCCGGCAAAACACACACAAGGAGGCAGGGGGATTGCGGCCTCATTACGGGAAGAATAACTTCCATATGCTGTGGTCATTATTGTGCGTGGAAGAAAGCATATCTGTCCAACAAATCTTTACCCATCTGTGGGGGTTGTCTTCTTTCAGTGGAGTTCATTGGAAAACCAAAGCCTGTATGAGCAGAGTGTGTGTGTGTATATATATATTAAAAAAAAAAATATATATATATATATATATCCACAGAGCCTGCTCACTTCCCTGAGGTGGATAAGATTCTTTCTGGTTCAGAGGATTTATTTATTTTTTTCAATTTTCAGTGTACAGTATTTCCTCTTTTGCACGTCACTGTTGTGGTGTTGCCTTGGTTTTCAGCACATGTGCCACACTCCAAAAGGCACAATACTTTTGGTTTTTCCACACCAAATGATTGACCTTATTTCATCCAATGTGGGCTCTGGAATAGCTTTACACAGAAAAACAGATATAAAGCATTCGGGATTAGCCACTTCTAATAATATAAAATATCTTAATCGAACTGAAGGATTCTTTGGTGACGCGAATGGCAGCCGACTCCCACCTTCTAACCGCTCTCTAGCCTTGAGGCTAACGATAGGCAAAGTCATTGCTCTTTGAGCTCACGCGAGCCAAGCTGTCAACATTTACGGGAGATGAGATGAAACACTCGGCGTTATTTCCACTTGTCTTGGCACTTCCAGGAAGTAGGCGGTGAGAGATGTTTGAATTGGAGAGCGAACTGTGGATGCTCCCCGTATGACAGCCGCGGCGCAATTCCCATTTTTCATGCTAGCAAAGGCTTGAGCTATTGTCAACGTTTCATCCGATGGGATGCTGCCTAATTAGTCTCCTTCCAAAGTTTCTCTCAACTCCATTCTTGATGGTTTGTCAGTCCACCTTGAGCCCAACTTTCCATGAATTACAAAATGGGGTGAGACAGTTACAGCGGTGACCTGTCTCTAGTAGCCGAGTGAGGTTTTGCAATTTGTTCTCGGACCACCAAAGAAGCTCCGTCCGTTGTCTCGCTGAGCAGACAGAGCAGCGGAGTCACTTCTGTCAGACTGCAACTGCGAAATGGCTCCCTGGAGGATTTCTCTCCTCCAGCTGATTAAAGGTACGGCAGCGGCACAACAGCGCGACAAGTCACACGTCACCGCTCTGAAACCTGTGAAAGTGACTAGAATCGAACGAGACGGGATGACATTCTGGGGATCTTTTTTTTTTCTCCCCCGCCCCCTTTAATTTCACCATCTGTTTCTTGGTGATTCACTAAGTTGGCAGAATCTCAGCCTCCTAACGAGAGCTGGCGGGGTAGTGCGTGTGTCTCTGCGTGCGTGAAGGGGGAGTGGTGTGGGGCTTGTCTTGGCCGGTGGAACAGCCTCATGGTGAGTTGTGTCAGCATCATCGCACACAACTGCTCCACCACTTGGCAGGAGGCCACCACATGCAGACCGGCACCGTGGTCAGAATGGCCTTCTCCCGGCCTTATAGCTGGCTTTCTGATGACCTTTGCGCGCCCGCTAGCAATTTTGAGTTCGGCCGCTTGGCACTGGGGTCATGCCCCTCGAAAGGTTGAACTACTCAGAAGGACTGCCGACGAAACGTGGCAGCCAAATGACAATTTTAGCCGTAAACTGGAACTGAAACGGCCCCAAAGGCGAACCAAAAAAGATGAATCGGTTCGCAAATAACAGCACACTAAGGATCGACTGACTGGCCGCTCCGCATTGAATATAAAAGACATACGAGAATGTAACAGCAGCATCTGTTGCATCTGCTCGTGTAAAAACTTGCCTCATGCGAAATCCGGACTTCGATCGGCGCACAGCCCGGTCGAGCTGGCATGATGTTCAACTCAAGTGTATTTCGAGAGCGCTTGAAGACAACCAGCGCTGTGTACAAAGTGCTGCGCGTGGACCGAAAAGAAATTCATGACAAAAATGGGAGAGAAAGCACCATTCCTGCCAAACTAAAAATCAAGGCTCATGCTGAGTCAAAAGCCAAAGAATAAAAACGAGTTGTCAAGATGGGCTTGCCGAACGTTCGGCGAGAGGTCATTCCAAAGAGAGGGACCGGCAACTGAGCCTCCGCTTCGTTCTCGGTACCTCGAATAGCGTCTGGAATAGCGTCAAGTATGAACAGCACACATTCACTTCTCCAGCCCAGTCGGCGGCTGCAAAGCAGGCGTCTCTGCCTGACTGGTAATTTGTCCATCACCCAAGGAAAAAGCAACAGCGGCTTCTTCGGATGCGACTATTTTGCAGGCTGTGCTCGTGAAAGAGGCTGGCTGGCGTGACATCCCATCCCGTTCCGTCAACTGACTGGAACTGTACTGCATGGTTGTATCTTGATATTGAGGAGAAGAAAAGAATCTCGACGGCACTTCATCCACCGGCGAGACACGTTTACGTGCAAAGTGTAAGGTATTTGATAACCTTCAGCGCACTGAATGAACCGCGCGGTGTCTTGATGTACTGGATCAGCAGCGACGAGGCTGCCGTAGTAAAACAAAAGCCTTAACACAATCATAGCCTTGTCAACCTGTGACATTCTTCAGATTGATTTTTGCCACAGACCCAAATGTTGCAGATGATTGCGTGCCGTCTCCCCCCCCAAAATGCGAGGGACACTTGCCGGCAATAAATCGCTGGCGCCGTCCGTCTTCTCTGCATGACCGAGCAACCAAATCGGATCCTGACTTTTTATGACACCGTACCAGCGACGGCCATAGCTGGCGGCGGCGGCGGCGGTGGCAATGCGCTTTGCGGGGCTGTCGGTCAGGCCCGTTGTCCTTCTGAAAGCAATATCTGACGAGCAGCTGAGAGGAGATTTCATGACATCTGGAGCAAAGTTCCACTTCAGCTCCCCATTCAAAGGTCGTTGCCGCAGCGATCTCCAAAAGACATCTTTTTACCAGAATTCCGAAAGGAGCCGGCCGGCCCTTCACGTCAGCACATAAAGTAGCGTCGTATCGCCCACGCTCTTGGCCTGAGAATTAAACGATCGCTCTTCACCTTTGCAGTGAAAACCCACGCATCCACGCTCGTTCTGACCCGACCAGAAGAGAAGGCAGAAAAGACCGAGATGCGACTCAGACCGTGAGTTCGCAATCAATTCGGGGCCTAATAGAAAATCCTTTGGCCTTTTCCCTTCAAGAAGCGGGCATGAAAATGTTGAAATCTGGATTCAATTGAGCACGTGCTCACTTTAGAAGGAGCACTTGCGTGTGCGTCTTTGGGTGGGCACCGCATAAAACAGCCGCCATCCCATCAGCGTAATCAAGTTGGACAGATACGCCCACAGAAAATGTCATTGAATGAAGCGAATCCCGCCGAGCCCAACACAGACGGATCGCGGACTCGATTTCCTTCGCGCCGTTCCACCGCGGCCACGGTTGACGGCGATAAGCCTCATGAACCGTCGGGCTCCGCCGCGGGCAGCCGTTCGTTGATCACACTCGGGAGGAATCAAAGCGCGACAGTGCAGCGTACGGTATTTGGACGATCTCGACTTTGGAATGTGCAACTGTGGACTCTCAGAGTGCAGCCCTCCACCAAGGTTGAATGTTGGAGGACTGGGCTTTTAATGATTTCAAACTCTAACATCAGATTTGTGAAGCCTCCCGGGGCTTTAAAACTTTTCATGCGTGACATTAGCAACTGTGACTTTAGACTACAAAGAGAAACATTCTGCGAAGGTTCAGATTTAACTGAACACGGAGAAAGACAACTCCCGCCAACATGTATCTGCGTTTGTTGGTGAGCTATCAAGCGACTTCCCGGTTCGAGGAGAATGATGACCAAACCACTTTTGACGATGAGGAAAGAACAGCATTGTGACTCAAAAAGACTGATCCGTTGTACGGAGCTCAACGCGAAATGTTCTTTTTCCATAAAGCGTGAGCACTTTCTACCTGTTTATGCCCCAAACCGCAACACTTCCTCAGAACCCCCCCCCCCCCAACTCCTCATTACACGCCTGAACTGATCGTGCCGCGTAGAAATGCCACTAGCGCCGAGCGTTTTACACACCTCCTGAGAAGTGAGATTTAATGGCTCGCTCAAATCATTCTGCGACGCCACCGTTTGCGACTTTG